ATCTCTAGGGGCGTAGAAATTCAGTTTGCAAATTACCTGCAAATTTTGGGTTGGGCAAATTACCTGCAGCCCCATAGCACTAAATGCAGCCTCTCCCAGGAAAGCACGCACCTGAGGGCCGGGTGAGACACCACGCCTGCTGAGGTTCATTTCCGCCCTTTGTCCAAGGAAACTCTCTTGTTTGAAGACATCTTTACAAATTCCATCCTCCTTCCTCTCAGAAGATGGAGGCAGCCAGGAGCTTGTATTAGTTTGCTAAGACTCCTATAACAAACACCACATATTGTCTTAAACAGCAGAAATCTATTTTCTCACAGTTCTGGAGGTAGGAAACCCAAGATCAAGGTACCAGAAAGTGTGGGTTTTGGTGAGGCTTCTCCTGGCTCACAGACAGTTGCCACCTCACTGTGTCCTTGTGCCACCTGTCCTCTGCTCTCATGGCGAGAGAGACAGCTCTGGTGTCTCTTCATCTTCTTGTAAAGACACCAGTCCTACTGGATGAGGGTGCTACCCTTAGGACCTCATTTGACCTTCATTACTTCTTTAAAGGCCTTATTGCCAAACACAGTCACCTTGAGAATCAGGGATTCAACATATGAATTTTGGTAGGACATGATTCCATTCACAACAGAGCTCCTTAAGAGAAACATGATGCCAGCCCATGCTGGCCCAGACTGCAAAGAGCCCAGAGGAGCTGGGCACCCACTGTGAGCTGAGCTAACCCAGTGGTGGAGCTGGTGCAGGATCATCAATCACGACGATTCCACGGAGTAGAAAAAGATGAGCCCTCAGATAGCACCGAAGATGAATGGAGAAACTGACATGTGATTAAACTGGGATCTTCTGCTGGTGGCTGACAGCCCACTCTGAGTGCAAAGTTAGCACAGCCGGGCCTGGGCTCTCGGCACTCACAGAGGCACCTGCCCCACCTCCTTCCAAGGGTAAATGATTTTCCCTCCAACCACACAATGTCCTGTCATCCCGACACTGGGAATGAGTGAATGAGGTACGCAAGGGGACCGGCACAGGTGCTGGGAAGCACAGGAGGATAATACCATTAGTCACTATTTCAGGCTGTCTTGCCTTTGTTGATAATTAATAATAATAATGAGGGCGCTGGTTGAGCACTTGCTGTAAGTACTTCAGATGCATTTTCTCATTTTCATACATGAACCCAGGGAAGTGAGAGTTAAATAAGTTGGTGAGGGCAACAGCTTCTGGAGCAAACAAAGGGACAGAGAGGGATTCATCCATTCATTCATTCATTCATTCATTCATTTATCCAGCCAATTTTTATTGAGCACCTACTAGTACCATTATATCCACATCATATCCGTTATATCCATAGAAGTGGGAAAAGCCCACATGGTCTCTGCCTTCATGGGGCTACATCCTAGTCAGGGAGACAGACAATACAAAACTGACTCAATAAGATAATTTAGGATACTAATAAATGCTAGGAAGAAAATAAGATGATGCCAGAGAGAGTGACAGAAGAAGCAACCTCAGATAGGGTGGTCAGAGACGGCCTCTCAAAGGAAGGGACATCTGAGCTGAGATCCAAAGGTGAAAGGAGCTGGCCATGGAAGTAGCTGGGGGAAGAGTGTTGTGGACAGAGAGAACAGCAGGTGCAAAAGCTCAAAGCAGAAATTAACTTGGGATGTCTGAGGAGTTGGAAGGAGGCTCATGTGGCTGGATCTGCAAAGTAAGGCGGGGGGTGGGGGGAGTGTAAGTGAAGTGGCATCAGAGACATAGAGCTTCATAGGCCAGGGTAAAGAGTTGGGATATTTGTTTAATGGGATCCCTCTGGAAGGTTTTCAGCAGGAGGGCTTTCAGTAAGATTGAATTTATACTTTTAAAGGCCCACAGTGGCTGCTATATATGGAGAATAGAGAGGAAAGCAAGAAGGGAGAGTAGTTAAAAGGCATGGAGGCCATCAAGGCCTTGTGCTATCTGGTGTCAAGACGTAAACTCTTAATTATTTCAGATTATCAACATTCTCATCAGTCACCATCACTACCACCATCATCACCACCACCACCACCGTCATTATCATCACCACCACCACTACTACCACAACCACCACCACCACCATCACAATCATCATCATTACCATCATCAACACCACCACTAACATCATCATCATTTCCATCACCACCACCACCATCATCACCACCAACATCAAAATCATAATCACCATCATCACCACTGCCGCCACCACCACCACCACCACCACCATCATGATCACTATCACCCAAGGCATCGAGATGATAGTGGTTTGGATTAGGATGGTAGCAGGAACAAAGGAGTGAAGTGGGTGGATTGGAGTGTATTTTGGAGGGAGGTCCAAAAGGCTTGTAGGTAGACCATGGGAGGTAGACAGGACATTGGTGAACAGAAGCAGCAACTCTGGATGAATGCCTTGGTACCTCTCCCAACTTGAATAATTTGTCCAATTTTCCTACTGCTATTCTTGACTCTTCTTGCTGTCACCTACCAGGCACTTGATCTTGTTTCAGGAAATCATTGTATGACTGAAAAAGCCTGGATTTGGAATCAGGCATCCAAGTTTCTCACCCTGTGTGTGACTTTGAATCCATGGTTTAACTTGTCTGAAACTCAGTTTCTTCATCCGTAAAGTGGAACTATGGTATAACACTCACCTCATAGGATCATGAGGCTAGTGCTGGGCTAAATTCATGCTTCATTACATCTTGGTTCTTCAGATGGGGCCGCTGAGGAAACTGAGGCTGGCCACTCAGAGGCTGTTAATCAGCTACAAGCTTCAAATGCCCTATTGAGGAATTCCAGGACAGATGCCAATCCCTCCTTACTAGGTCTCCTTGGTTTAAAAGAAATACCTTCTCTCTGATTCTGAGATTATTTGTATTGTGGGATGGGGGAGGGAGGAAGGGACATTGAGGAAGTGACTATTACCAAAACACTTTTAAATATGGGTATTTAACGCAAAACAGTTCAGATTTACGGTCTAAAATAGTAGAGCTTGCATCTTGACACCAGACTAACCTGTCACTTATCAGTCATGCAAACAAGTAATGTTAACTTTCCAAGCCTTGGTTTTTCCTCTCCTATAAAAAGGGAATCATAGGGTTGTTGTGAGAATCAAAAGAATTAATATCTGTAAAATGTCGGGTGCACAGTAACTGCTTAGTGACAGCTGCCATCATCATCATCATTGCCAAAACTAAGACACTGGATTATTGTGAAGATTAAACTTGTCAAGCTCTTGGCATCATCACCATCAGCAGCAGTAACAGCAGCGGCATCACCATCATTATCATCACCATCATTGCCATCACCATCATTACATTATTACCCTCACAATCATCATCTTTACCATCAGCATCATCACCATCATCACCATCAGCGCATCACCATCGTCATAACCATCAAAACCATCAGTAGCATCACCACCAGCAGCAGCAGCAGCATCACCATCGTAATCACCACCATCATCACCATCAGCAGCATCACCATCACCACAATCAGCAGCATCACCATCATTATCCCCACCATCACCACCATCAGCAGCATCACCATCATCATCCCCACCATCACCACCATGAGCAGCATCACCATTATCATCCCCACCATCAGCAGCATCACCATCATTATCCCCACCATCACCACCATGAGCAGCATCACCATCATCATCCCCACCATCAGCAGCATCACCATCATTATCCCTACCATCACCACCATCAGCAGTATCACCATCATCATCCCCACCATCACCACCATGAGCAACATCACCATCATCATCCCCATCATCATCACCATCAGCAGCACCACCATCACCACCATCAGCAGCATCACCATCATCATCCCCACCATCATCACCATCAGCAGCATCACCATCACCATCATCAGCAGCACCACCATCATCATCCCCACCATCACCACCATCAGCAGCATCACCATCATCATCCCCACCATCACCACCATCAGCAGCATCACCATCACCACCATCAGCAGTATCAGCATCATCATCATTACCATCACCACCACAACCACAGCAGCATCAGCATTGCCATCACTATCAGCAGCAGTGGCGGTATCTCACCATCACTGCCTCACAGGGTGAAGCAGGTTCTGTTGATGCCCACCCATATCCCTTTAGCACTTGCTATCTGTGTACAGTGGCCAATGTCTAGTTGCCAGTATCTGTATCTCTTCTTGAGGGCTTTCTCTGAGTATTGGAGAACACTGTGCCTGTGCTCTGGCAGGCGGAAGTACCAGGAAACAAATACCTACACTCCTCCGGAGCAGCCTTCAACCAATGATTCACAGGAGTTGAATAAACACACTGGCTCCCTTGCCCCTCGAGTAGGGTAACTCTAAGGGACATCTTCCACATTGGTGTTTCTCAGCGTTCTCCAGTGGAATTAAGCTCGAGATGCCCCCAGTGGTAGCTTGCTTGTGATTGGGCACCCTTTTATAGACTGCCTCCCCCTCCTTCTCTCATATCCCCACTCTCTTGCATTTCTTAGGACCAGTATTTGCACTTGAATCTTTGCCTCACGTTTTGCTTCTGGGGGAACCCAAACCGAAGACACTGGATTATTGTGAAGATTAAATTTGTGAACCTCTTGGCACATGTTCGATGCTCAGTAAACTCATTGTTAAGTGAACAAATAAGCGAAGCCTCACCTGGTCTGAGGATACAGACCCAGGGCCGAGGAAACGAGGAAGGGCGAGACCTGGGACTGTAAGAGATGAGAGGATTCCCAGAGAGGCTGTGCCTGCAATGCCCCTACCCTTCAGCAACAGCTGTCATTACTCCATGCCTCCCCATTCTGAGTTCTCTTCCTGTCCCCCCACTGGTTGTGGGTTCAAGGCGTGGCTGGACCACATGGGCCAGAGCCCTTTGAGCAGCTCAGAAAGATGCTCTCGTTACCAAGCTCCCATGTCAACTCGCTGGAAGGACAACACCCACCGAGTGCAGGACTGGAGAGAAAAACACTTAGGCAAAGTAAGCGTGACATTGAACTTGTGCCTTTAATGTTAAAAAATTTAAATATCGTATTACAAAATGACAAGATTATACAAATCAACATGTAAAGCATGAGAGCTGTGAAGCGAAGTCTTCCTCTGCCCAGTTCTCCTGGGGCTGATCATGGCTGCGATATTGGCTTCCTCTCCCTGAGGCCCCAGCCCCTCATCCTTGAAGGACTCTGAGAGGGCAAGGGGCTTGTCCAAGGTCATAGAGCTCTCCTGGTCTTGTTTCTGGTGCTGCTGCCACTACACATTGTAGGGCCACTTTCAAAACAATCTTACCTGGGGGAAAAAAAATCCAACTATCTCTTGATAGAGGTGCTGCATTTTTAAATTTCTTCCAGTCTAGAAGCCATGGACAGAAGCCCATGGAGATCCAAGTGCCCCAAGTGATGGTGTCATAACAGCAAGCTTGATGTAGGAAGCAACTCTCCGGAGAGCTAGCGGGTGGAGGGGAGCGAGGGCTTTGTGTGCGTGGTTAAAACATGAGAACGGTTAAGGGAAGTTCTTCCTCTGTCCAGTTCTCCCAGGGCTGTGTTGGCTTCCCCTCCCTGAGGCCCTGGCCCCTCATCCCCTCTGAGTGGAGAGAGCACTAGTCCTGAGTCTATTTCTGAGGGGTCTGAGAGGCATTTCAGAGAACGATGCCTTGGAAGAAAACTCAGACCTTCCCTTGAAATAGCTTCATTCTCATGCTGGGTACATGGACACAGAGCCAGCAAGGGAGAGGAGGAGGCATCCAGGCTGCTCCTGAGAGTTGCAGGGTTTAGGTGGGGCTCTGTTTAAGGACCCACTCGCCATGTGGGTTGGCACGGTACAGATCTAAGAGGTAGGCATCTGGGTCCAGGCGATGCTCATCTGTGGGAAGAAGAGGTGAAGGAGGTTGAGTGGGAGGCTATGGGAGACGCTGTTCCCCTACGCAGAGCCCTTCACCAGGCAGGGCACTGTCCCCTGGCTGTATGCATCTTGACTGCTACAGCTCACAGTTACCTCTTCTGCTGGAGGACTGAGCTCCGCTGAGGGAAGATGCCTTGCCAGAAAAGTGACATCCCCTCCCCCTGGGAAAGCCCACAGTCGAAGACCGATGGACACAGACTACCAAAGACTAGTCTCCTTGCCTCAAAATGCAACAACTCTGATGTGATTTGTGCTCTAGAGCCCCCTAGTGGATCAGGCCAAGCTCCAGGATGTGGACACTCCTGGTCCCTGCCCCTTCCCTATCCTCCTTCACTCCTTCCCTTGGAACCCTTTTCTTGAGGGGCACCCGCTCAGTGCATCATGTACTACTGATGCCATGTCTTAGCCTCTGCTTCTTGGCCAGTGGCCCTCAAAGTGTGGCCCCTCGACCAGCAGCATTCGCAACTTCTGGGAACTCATCAGAAACACACATTCTCAGGCCCCACCATCTGTGTCTTAGCCCTCCAGGGGATCCTGAGGTTCTGGTAAAGTCTGAGGATCATTGTTCTAGAGAATGCAAAGGGAAACAGCTGCCCATCCTTGGTTCCCACAGAGCCAGGGACCTCCCAGAGCTGGACATTTATTTGCAGAATTCCTTAAGGACTCCTTGGCCCCTGGGCCAGGGATGAGGTCTATCCCAGCTAGGGTGTCCCAGAGGAGTCGGTTTCACTGGTGGTACTGCCAACCTTGACACTAAACAAACCTTCTGCCTCTCTCTGCAAGCCTGAGGCCAGCTCCAGGCAAAATCCAAACTCTAGGACAGACTCCTAAGACTTGCACTTTAACCCTACAGCAGGACTCTGCCTGGTTTCATTGGAGATAGAGGCCTGAGGGGAAGGCTCATCTCCAGGCAGACTCTGGCCTCCCCCAGAAAGGCTCAGTGAAACTCTGAGGTCGAAGAACTCCCAGGGACCCGGGCTCTGTCCCTGTTTCCCACAGTGGAACTTACTGATATTCCCTCCAACTTCATAGAGGAGGATGTTGGCTGACTCCATGGGCCTGTGGCTGTAAAACAGAGAAAGAAAAAAAAAAACTCCTGCCTTTTCCTTCTAGAAACAGCAAGACCAACAACTGTGATGGCCCCCAGGTCTGGAAAGGGCAGTCCTCACTGATTTTCGGTCCCACTGGGGAGAAGACGTATAAGGACCCTCCTGAGAGAGCTGGAGCCAGTGACAGAGTCCCACAACCAGGGGCTGGGGAGAGTTAGCTGGAGGGCACGTGGTGAGGCTCAGCCAGAGGTGCACCCCGCTGCGAGGCTCCTTCCTTCCAGGCATCAAAATGGAGACTGCGAGGGCAGGGGAATGAGTGGTGACAGATGGGGAAAGGAGCCTGCGGTGAGGGGAAGATTTTGTGTCAAGATGGATTATGGACATTGTATGATTACATATGATAATTATGCTTATCATGTAAGAATCACAATTATTATATGATAATTATGGGTATCCTGAGTTCAATTCCACGGCCTCTTATCTGCCATGTGGCCTCAAGCAAGCCCCTTCTCTTTTCTGAGTCTTAGTGCTCCCATCTGTTCAAAGAGGAGCTGAACCAGACAGTTGCTGAAGATGACAGTCTGAGGATTCCTTGTGCCAATGCCAAGAAGGAAACTCTTGAGGGCTCAGGCTGTTTCCTGTACCCTGGGAATGATGACTGCACATCAGCCCCTGACCTTCTTCCAGATCCTTGGCCAGGCTCTGCTCCTTGCTGCAGAACCTTTGCCGTGCAGTTTTCTGTGCCAGGAAGCCTCACTTCGCTCCCAGACAACACCAGCTTCCTTGTCTTCCAGACACATTATTCCCTGCATTTCTTGTGAAACCTAATACAGTTTGTAACTTGATCTTTGGTTCGTGACTATTTGCTTTATGTCCAGCTCTTCCTCAGGGCTGTGGGCTCTTAAGAGCAGGGCCTCTGTTCTTTTCATGCCTAGTCTATAATTCTCTTTACACATGGTGGGCCAGGTGCGGTGGCTCACGCCTGTAATCCCAGCACTTTGGGAGGCTGAGCTGGGCAGATCACTTGAGATCAGGAGTTTGACACCAGCCTGGCTAACATGGTAAAACCCTATCTCTACTAAAAATACAAAAAAATTAGCCAGGCATGGTGGCAGACGCCTGTAATCCCAGTTACTTGGGAGGCCGAGGCAGGAAAATCGCTTCAACCTGGGAGGAGGAAGTTGCAGTGAGCCAAGATCGCGCCACTGCACTCCAGCTTAGGTGACAGAGTGAGACTCCATCTCAAAACAAAACAAACAAACAGAAAAACATGGTGCCTGGCGGTGGGCATTCATTAAATACCTATTAAAATGAATGAGTGAGTGATAGTCATAATGATTATTACTTGGAGCCAAGAAGCTCTCTAAGGTTGGAGAACCCATCTGACCACCCCAGAAAGGGAAGGCCAGGCCAGGCCAACAGCATGTGTAACTCCCTGGTGGCCTTCAGCTCCAGGATGCAGGGCCCTCCCTGCAGGGGAGAGGCTCCTGCCTCCAGGAGGTGCCCCTTACTGTAGAAGGAGGCTGTTCATGTCCTCACTGCCTTCTTGACCCTTGGAATCAGTGCTGAGGTGCTCCGTGAACTGCCTCAGGACGTGGGCCACTTTGGTGCTGGGGGTGAGAGGCACCTTCAAGGGATCCTTGATAGGCCAGACCGCCTGGATCTTTGCCACCTTGGGAGTCTGCAGAGAGAGAGAGGAAGATCCATATACACAAGAGCCAGCATGCCTGGAGTTCAAACATGGATGCATAAACATACATACATGGTACTTACACAAATGCCCACGCTGAAAATCACAAGACGCCCCCCCTCCACACACACACACACGCACACCGGCCACTTGGGCACAGATCACAGACATACACATTCTGGATGTGTGCACACACAGGGAGACAAAGAAACATGCCTGTGTTTCTACGCCTGTGTTTGTGTTTCTATGCCTGTGTTTCACACTCGTACACATAGCAGGGGTACATGCAATGTACCCACAAACACAGACATGTAGGTTTGTATAAAGACCCATCAACCACACATCGTGCATGATGCAGCCTCGACGCTCATCAATTTCTCTGATTGGGACTTTAATAAGGAACCGTGTTCAGGAACCCTCCCAGGAATACTCAGCATTTTTGGAAGGCTCTTCCCTTCTACTATCCCCCTCCCAGCCCCAATCACCTCACACCCCGCAGAGCGACCCCCATTTTCCCAACCCTCGGCCAAGGGCTGCCTAAAAATGGGGCGGAGGAGATGGCCTCTAGGGGAAGTCACCGGGTCACTCCATTTCCCCTCCCCAACTCGCTTCTAAGCCCTCGTTTCGCAGCCACGCCTCCTCGCTCCCCGTGACGGCGCCGCAGCGCCCCCTGGTGGTCTCACTGGGCCGTTGCTGGTAGCCCGGTAGCGGAGACCTGGAGGAAGGTAAGCACCAAGCTCCAGGTGCCCTCCTGTCGCCTAGGGCCCTTCTCCACCTGTCTGGGGTCGGAGGCACTCACCGCCTCGAGGCTGTCCCCTGCCTTGTCCCTGTCTGCGTGCATCCTCCGCAGCCAAGTCTTGAGGCCCGCGTCGCAGAGCTGAGGGCGCCTGCTGCTGCTGTCGTTCAGTTTTCGCACCTGGGCGACCAGGAAAGAGGCGACCTGGCCAGAAAGAATCGAGTCTCGGCAGGGTGACAGGACTGCTGGGGGCGAGAGGCACAGCCCCCTCCAGGGTCATCGTGGCCTCTTCCCTGGCCCAGCGTCCCACAGGGCTTGGAAATACGCATGTGCTGGACTTGGGACGGAAGCACTGGTTTGGTGGAATGAGGAGGGGGCGTTCAGCCCCTAAATGGGCCTTGGAGTAGGGGACCCTGAGAGTGGAGCCCACCCTGAGGCTTAGTGGACAGTGGTTCCCCTCGACAGAGGCTGGAGGGTCCTGCACCTGCTGAGGGATAGCTGCTTACTGGCACACTCAGGCAGGGGTGTCCCCAAAACACACCTGGGGCAGGCTCTGCTCTGAGAACCTCCAGGCAGCCCACACTGGGGGATTCCTATAGAGGCCTCCAGCTCAACCCATGCCTCTCTGTGGGATCCGAACCCAGTAAAGTCAGAGAACCCAGACTCCATGGACCCTGATAATAACACGTTTCTGTCTCCCAGGGTCTGATGGAACTGGGGTCGATTCTGAACTCCCCTCTTTGCTGTGTGTGCTGACTAAAGGTAACACACACGGGGAAGGGCAAGGGTGATGGGGGTTCTCCCCTTTCACTTTTTCTACATCTATGTTGTCTGAAGCTTTTCTAACAAGAAAACATTCAGGAATTTCTTGAATTTGTAAAGCTCCCTCCAATAAAAACAAGTATAACAATCCAATGTCTTTTAGTAGCAACATTATCTCAAAGGGCTGAGTGCAGAGAAGAAAGGAACTATGGGGGTGTAAGGAGTGTATGAGGGAGGAGTAAGGGACTTTCAACAGAGCAGTTGACTCTTGAATTAAGAGGTCTTGAAGAATGAGTGGAGGACAGCAGGCTTCTGCCATTTAAAAAAAAAAAGGTGGGGGGAAGAGAATTACAGGCAGAGTAAACTGCATAAGCAAAAATTCAGAAGTGTGAAGTACTAGATGAGTTTGGAGTGCCAGCTGGCACTTGCTGTGTTTAGAACACAGAAGAGTGCCCAGCAGGGTCGGAGAGAAACTGAGAACAGTCAGAGAGGGCTTCACTTGCTGGTTTCTGGAATAGGAAATCTAACCTAATGACTTCACGGAAGGAGGGAGGGATAGGAGGAAGGACTGTGGTTGGATGGATGAGTGGACAGTTGGATAGATGCATGGTTGGTAGATGAGTGGGTGGATGGATGGGTAGATAGTTGGATAGATGCATGGTTTAGTTGGATAGATGCATGGTTGGGTAGATGGGTGGATGGATGGATGGGTGAATGAGTAGATGGATGGATTGGTAGATGAGTGGATAGACGCATGATTGGTGGATGGGTGAGTGGATGATAGATTGGCGGATGGGTGGATGGGGGAGTTGGAAGAATTAATGTATGGATGGGTGGTAGGTAGATGGGTGGCGGGATAGGTGGGTGGGTGAGTGGGTGGGTGATGGGCAGATGCATAAATGGATGGGTGGGTGAGTGAGTGGATGGATGGATGGATGGGTAGGTGGGTGAGTGGGTGGGTGGATGGGAGACTAAATGGAAGTATGAATGAACAGATGGAGGGAAGAGGATACACATCTCTGGGTGAGAAAGCAGCCTGGTCAGCAGTGGTAGATGGTGCTACCTTGTGTTCACAGAGCCTCAGGAGCTGGAGGGGTCTCAGTGCTGCGGGCACCATGCATGCTGACACTGCAGAAGGGCCTCTCTCCTCCTCTGGCTCCTCGCCTTGCTGTCACTTGTTACTCAGGGCAAAGCTCATGGTGGGGGCAGGGGGGCAGGGGTATCCCTGTTATCTGGTTCTGGGCTCTGTTTTAGGCAGGCCCTGTGATCCTGGGCCTCAGGGATGGGGCTTTCTCAGCAGTATAAAAGCTTTGATGTGAAGGAATTATTTGCGGGAGTTGGGGGAACTCCTGCAATCTGGGGTAGACCAGATGGCAGCAGACTGACAGAGAGGCGTGGCAGCGGAGACAGAAAGGGAAGACACTTCTTGGTCACTAAGGCAGGGGGAAGAAGAAAACACAGTCCTGTGCAGAGGCCAACAAAGGGCCTGGAAGGGACACACTAGGAAACTGAAAGGACAATGCCCAGGCTCCTGGAGAGCAGGGACGGCAGGGCAGCAGCACCCAGAGGAGGGATACCCAGCACCCAGCAGCACTCACCGTCCACAGCAGATCCTGGTAGTGCACCATTATCTGCACCACCTCGGCTGCCCCCTCTGCCAGCTGCTTCTCCTTGCCTTTGGGGAGTTTGGGGGGCCGCCCATGGTGCAGAAAGAGGTTAGGGGCCATCACGGTGGAAACATTCCACAGAGTCATCTTGTTGTGCTGTTCCCGGGCCACCACCTTCCTGAGGAATTCCAGCAGTGCCTGGGGAAGGGGGCAGAATCTCCCTCAAATCTCAGCCCATCCCTGGCGCCTCCCCACCATCCCCAGGGCATCCTGATGCATGACAAGGGGGCGCTAGGAAGGAGCCAGGAGCTGGGAGGGCAGCAAGAGAGGCTCCTGTTCCAGCTGTGCCACCAGCTCACTCCGCGACCTCTCTGTGTCTCCACTTCCTGCTCTGCGGTGCGTCCAAAACACTTTCCCTCCCCTGCTCCCTCAGAGACTAATGAGACAACTGGGTCAGACTTCGGCGTCCAGGTAGAAAAGGGCCACAGGTCTGGAACATGGGTCATTTCCTGGTGAGGCCCGGGACAGCTGCTTCTTTCTGGAGTCTGGATCTACCCAAAATGCAAAGGAAAGAATAGGGAAGCAGAGAGGCTGGGAAGAGCAGGGGAAGGTGATAAGAGCTACTATTTACATGTATTCTTTGTGTTCCTGGGCCTTTAGTTGGTATATCTTATTTAATCCTCACAGCAACTTTATAAGGTAGTTTTTTTGTTGTTGTTTTTTGTTTTTGTTTTTGTTTTTGAGTCAGAATGTCACTGTGTCACCCAGGCTGGAATGCTGTGGTGTGATCTTGGCTCAGCTCCCTGCAACCTCTGCCTCCCAGGTTCAAGTGACCCACCCACCTCAGCCTCCCAAGTCGCTGGGATTACAAGTGTGCACCACCACACCCAGCTAATGTTTGTATTTTTTGTAGAGATGGCGTTCCCGTGCTGGCCAGGCTGGTCTCAAACTCCTGACCTCAAGTGATCCTCCCGCCTTGGCCTCCCAAAGTGCTGGGATTACACACATGAGCCACTGCGCCTGGCCAAGGTAGCTCTTATTATTGCATGCATTTTATAGAGAAGGAAACAAGCTTGGAGAATGCACCAAGAGTCACACAGCCAGTAAGGACAAAGGGATGGAGTGAAGAAGGGAGGGACTGAAGAAGGGAGGGAGGGATTGATGGATGAATGGATGGATGGGTGGATGGATAAAGAAAAGAAGATGAATAGATGGATGAATGAGGATAAATGGGTGAAGGAAGGAAGAATAAATGGAAAGGAGGTGGGAGGGAAGGAGGGAGAGAGGGAGGGAGGAAGGGAGGAAGGGAGGGAGGGAGGGAGAGGGGATAGGAACAGAGGACACATATTGAATACACTGCAAAGCATCATCTTCTACCCTATGATTCCTTATGAGTTAGCTTTTATGATTTCCAAAACAACTAGACAAGATGCTATTAATGCTATCATCATCCTCAGTTTACTGAAAAGGAAGCAGAAACTCAAACAGGAAGATCTGGGGCCTCTTCACAGGCTGACCCTGGAGGCACATCTGGAGTCTGACCGAAGGACAGCCAAGAGGGTATAGGGAGCTGGGCGAAGGCTGAGCATCCATTCCTATATGACAAGGGGAATTTGCTAAGGGTTTTTTCCCAAACTGGTTCAGCACGGAACACCAGTGCCGCGCAATGCTTTCCACAACAAAAGAGGTCCCTGATCAACTGAGTTTTTAGAGTGCTGCATACTCTAATCCCACTTGGAGATTCCTCTCAGTGCCTCAATATACCAAAGGCTTTGAGAAGTCCTGGGGAGAAAAATATTCTTAACCTTGTTTCATGAACTCTGTGTTTACTCATCCAGGCTTGTCCACAAGGTGCTAACACCTGTTAGCACCACATGGAACTGACGCTCTGCAGTGCCCACTCTGGGACTATCCCCTTTCAGGGCTCATCTACTTTCTTTAGGAAAAAGTCTCAAGAGAGGTCTGTGTGGGTCATCACTGAACCCTAGCACCTGGCAGAAGTTGCTGAATGAATGAATAAATGAGCACATTTGGAGCCATGGCTGTGGGTGTGGGCTGACATGGCAAAGTGGTGGTGGTGCATGGTAACTCTTACCTTTAAGGCATTTCTGTTGGGTTCTGGGAGGATGAGGATGAGCAGGTGAAGAACCTGCAGGCGCTGCTTCAGGTCAGGGATGTCTGTGGGAAGGGAGGGACCTCAGTCTCAATGGGAGGCTCAGGGACTCCCTCCCTCAGTCTAGTCTCTTCTTGGGAAAATTCCAGAGCTGGAAAGCCAGGGAACAGCCAGGAATCCCTTTTTTCATAAGGTGCGGGACTATTTCCTTGTCTAATGTTGGCTCAGACAGAGCCCTGACCAGTGCTGGTGGAGAGGTTCACTCGCTGTACTTTGTGTAGCAAAATAAACACACACATGCGTGTGCATGCACGCACATGCCGCACACACCCAGATATGCAGTCCAGGCTACAGCCCAGGGTCAGAAATGCAATGAACCAGCAAATCACCCTTAGGAAGGGAGACAGAGAACTCAGTGGGCCCAGACAGAAGGTTTCATGAAACCCTCTGTATTGTGAAGGTTGAAAAGGAAAAGCTGTCTCACACCTGGTGTCAGGATCTCCGGGGAGAGGAGGCGGGTAGGAGGAGGTAGTAGTTATAGATTCAAAGAAGGAGTTCATCAGAGCCAGACAAGACCCAGCAGCTGAGAGCTGCCTGGAACCTGGAGAAGAGCTGCATAGGAGACACAGAGGCTGAGCACCCGGGGCGCCAGGCCTACAACCCCGTATGACCGACCTTCCTTCCTTCCTTCCTTCCTTCAGTCCTTCCTTCCTTCCTTCCTCTCTCCCTCCCTCCCTTCCTTCTCTCACTTATCAACAAATACCTATCAAGTATCTGTCAGGTGCTATGCTCAGTCTAGGCACCTGCGACACAATAGTGAAGGAGGAAAATAAAGTCGCAGGCTTGTGGAGCTTACATTTCAGAGGGGAGACACAATACACAAGCAAAGAATAAATCAGAGTATGATGGGCATCACTGCATCATTATAGAGGCTAGCAGGCAGCACGGGGGGTGGGGTCACGGAAGGCCCCTCACAGGCTCTGACAGCCAGCTGAAACTTGAAAGGCAGGAAGCAGCCAAATGAGGGCGGAGGGAGGTTCCATTCAGAGACAGCAGCAAGTGCAGATGCTCCAGGGAAGGAAAGAGGAGGGGGAACAGCAAAGTGGGAGGGCCTGACCAGACAGTGGGGAAGGAGGAGGCCAGGAGGAAAGGGGGCCAGAAATAGGCAGGACCTGAGCCGAAGCAGGTGGGCCCAGTAAGGAGTGAAATCTTATTACAAAGGTGCTGTGGAGGATGGGTAACAGCATAGGGAAGGGATCTGATTTATGTTTTGCAATGAGGTTGAGGCCAGGCCTGATGGTTCATGCCTGTAATCTCATCATTTTGGGAGGCTGAAGTGGGAGGATCACTTGAGGCCACGAGTTTGACACTAGCCTAGGCAACATAGCGAGACTCCCATCACTACAAAAACATTTTAAACAAGTATGCCAGGCATGGTCTCATGTGCCTATATTCTCAGCTACTTGGGAGGCTGAGGCAGGAGAATCACTTGAACCCAAGAGTTCAAGGTTGCAGTGAGCTAGGATCATGCCACTGCACTCCAGCCTGGGTGACAGAGCAAGACCCCGTCTCTTAAAAAAAAAAAAAGAAAAGAAGAAGAAAAAAGAAAACAAAACACTGAGGTTGTGAGAATCAAAGGTCAGAGAAGACTTCTCAGGATCCCTGTCCCCTCCCCTAGCTTGGGGGTGGAAATCAGACTGCCTGAGCCTTGAAGCTTTTTGGAGAATTCAGACAGACAGGGAGAACCTCATGGTCATGAATGAGATTTCAGGAGAGCTGCTCTATTTTTCTGAGAAAAATAGAAGAGACTATGTTTGTACATTGTGGATTGTGAAGAAGTCCAGACAGGAATATATATATGCAGACTATACATAGAGCAAGGTCCTTGCAATACATGCTGATCTGCAGATGCACGCACAGATGGACACAGATGGATGTGATCTGCAGACGCGCACACAGATGGACGCGATCTACAGATGCGCACACAGATGGACATGATATGCAGACGCGCACACATAGATGGACACTATGCAGACGCGCACACATAGATGGACACGGATGGACGAATCTGCAGTGATGCCTACACAGATGGACAGATGGACATGGGATCTGCAGATGCGCACACACAGATGGACATGGATGGACGCAATCTGCAGACGCACACACAGATGGGCGCGATCTGCAGACACACACACAATGGATGCGATCTACAGACGTGCACACAGATGGACGCGATCTGCAGACGCACACACAGATGGACGCTGACCCGCAGACGCGCAAGACAGATGGACGCGATCTGCAGACGCGCACACAGATGGACGCGATCTGTAGATGTGCACACAGATGGACGTGCACACACGTGTGTCCACAGATACACAAGTAGACGATGCTGATAAGCTCAACCCCATGGATGTCAAGATGTGAAGGAAACCGGTCCACTCGTCCACGTGAGAACTAATAGGGACTGTAGTGTGCAAAACCGTAGCCTCCTCTCCTCACACACCTGCACATGCACACATGCCATACAACACACACAGGACACACGTGCACATGCATATGCACACATATTGGGCTCACATGCTCACACTTGCTTCTTCCCCCATTGGTTGGACATTTCTGAAACAGACATTTCCAGGAACAGGCAGTCCTGCCTTTGCATGGCTTCCCCTCTCCAACCAAGGCCAGTGACATCCAACTGTCCATCCTTGCACAGGCCAAGGGCTTGGGCACACTCACTGGGCACCACAGCGAAGGCCGGGAGGTACTCAGCCGTGAGCAAAGGCGTCGGCAGCTTCCGGATGAACCTTTTGAGTAAATCGGAGGCGTCATTGTGATGAACCTCGTCCCAGCTAAAAAGGCCAGCATAGAAGTCTCTCTCCAGCTTCTGTTCCAGCCCCTACAGGAAGGAGGGGCACAAAAACACAGTTGGCCCAGGGCTCCGGTAGAAGCTGCTCTACCACTTCTCTGGGGCTCAGTTGCCTCATCTGCAAAGTGGGGACGACAAGAGCACCTCCCTCGTGGGGTTGAAGTGAGGACGAAATGGCCTAAAGTGCACATCACTGAGCACAGGGCTCTGCTCAGTAAGCGTTGGTGGTCTGACTCCAGGGCCCACGCTCTCCACCACCATGCTCATCGTGCCACCTTCAGCCTCTCAAACCCTCGACCCACACAGAGACCAAAGATAGATCACCGGCGAGCCAGGGACTGGATTCTCTCCTGGCTTAACACACATGTGAGGATGGGGGAGATGCAGCCTCAGTGAAGCGGGGGAAGCCAAACCACTACCTTGACCCTGGCCTGGGATCCGGGCACCCTGAGAATGCCTTCTGTGTCCAGTCCTCTCTTTTCCAAACAGGACAGCAGCTGTCAGAGACAGAAACCAGCACTTAAACTAGGAAACGCTGAAAAGCAGGATTCAAAATGGTGTGTTTGTCTCCCACTAAAATCAGGAAGAAGAGAGTACCAGGAGAAGGGTTTCCTTCAAAGTAATAGTAGTTTTTGTGACCACTTCCATGAGCCAGGCATTGTGAGAGCTTCATACAGATTTTTCTCATTTAATCATTGATAAGAGGAGGATACTGTTATCATCATCCCAATTTACAGACGTTGAAAGGGAGGCTAATGAAAGTTCAAAAATCCACCCTTGACTTGAAGATTCAGAAGTTAAAAAGAAAAGAAAAAAAAAAAAATCCACCCCAAGGATCACTTGAGGCCAGGAGTTCGAGACCAGCTTGGGCAACATAGTGAGACCCTGTCTCTACAAAAAAGTTAAGACAAAAATTTATAAAATAAAAACAACAACAACAAAAAAAATCCACCCGGGTCTCTGAGCCAGCGAGCACCAGAGCCAGAATTTGAACCCAGGTCTGCCTGATTCTAAAGCCCATCTTTTCACCCCTTTGCTAGATGTCTCCTGACAATGGTCCCCGGAGCCGGCCTCCGAAGGATTACATAAACCCAAGCTGGGGGCGACTTACGGCTTGAAGGACCAGTGGGACCTGTGTGCTGGGGAGGACTTTGTGGTCAGCTTCTAGCAGGCTGTCAAGGGGCACACCGAAGAGGCGAGTTTCTACAGGAAATCAAAGAGCAGAAGGCGCGTTTCACTTCCTGGAACGACCACTGGGCTTGGACCTGCAAGATCTCCTGGGCAACTAGAATCAGACCCCTTTCCCTGTGGAAGGACTGAGCTCTCTAGAGAATGGCCGGACCCAAACCTCTCCTCTTGAGCAGAATATTTGGCCTCAGCAGTTATGAAAACATTACTGCTGAGGAGATATGTCTCAGAGCAGAAAATCTCAGCTGAATAAAGAAGTATTGAAAGGGCCGGGTGCAGGGGCTCAAGCCTGTAATCCCAGCACTTTGGGAGGCCAAGGCGAGCGGATCACCTGAGGTCAGGAGTTCGAGACTAGCCTGGCCAACGTGGCGAAACCTCGTCTCTACTAAAAACACAAAAAAAACGTTAGCCAAGCGTGGTGGTGGGTGTCTGTAATCCCAGCTACTTGGGAGGCTGAGGCAGGAGAATTGCTTGAACCCGGGAGGCGGAGGTTGCAGTGAGCCAAGATCACACCACAGCACTCCAGCCTGGGCAATAAGAGCGAAACTGTCCCACAGAAAAAAAAAAAAAAAGTATTGAAAGGGAAGTACGCTGTTGCTTCAGGGAGCACCAGGTATAAAAATGTAACAGCAGCCCCGGGTAGAGCTCTGGCTCTGCAGGATGGGCCAGGTTCTAGAGAGTGTATTCCCCAGGTCCATCTTAACCACCCTGGCTTGAAGTCTTCTCAGGCAAACTCCTCCTTCCACATTTTCTCCACACCTTCCTTCTTTCTCCCTTCTCCGGCCTGCCCCAGCTCTGCTAGATTCCTCCCCCTGGTCTTTTTTATTCACCATCCTCTTGTCTTTAAAGAAACAAACCAAAAAACCAAACCAAAACAAACCAAAAAATCACAATGCATAATGCTGACAATGATGCAACAAGATGAACACTTTTGCACACTGCTGAAGGGCAATATTATCTCAAGAACTTAACTCATAGATGTAATCTAAAGTAATCTAAGATGCATTCAAAAGCATATATACAGCAGTAGTGACTGTGTCTTATAGTAGGAAAGATATGGGCATCAAAAATGTCCGCTAATAGCAAAATGGTTAAATATATTAGAATACATCCACAAGGAGGAAAATAGTGCAGTGATTAAAAATCGTGTTTTCACTGAGGCAAGGTGGCTCATGCCTGTAACCCCAGCACTTTGGGAGGCTGAGGTGGGAAGGTCATTTGAGCCCAGGAGTTTGAGCCAGGTCTAGGCAAGATGGAAATACTGCCTCTCTACAAAAAAAATACAAAAATTAGCAGGGTGTGGTGGCACACACCTGCAGTGCCAGCTACTTAGGAGGCTGAAGCGGGGAGGGTCACCTGAGCTTGGGGAGTTTGAGGCTGCAGTGAGCTGTGATCATACCACTGCACTCCAGCCTGGGCAAGAGAGAGAGACTTTGTCTCAAAAATAAATAAATTAATTAATTAATTAAAATCAAGTTTTCAAGGAATATTTAATAGTTGTGGTAGATGCCACTATTGTTCTAAATTCATTACCCCTTTTTGTATCCACACCCTCTGCCATGTGAATTTGCAAATCTTCCCATTAGGGAAGCACAGCGTCCCTCCTCACTTGCTAGGCCATGTGACTAGTTTGGACCAATGGCATGGGAACCTACATGATGCAAGCAGAGGCTTAAAATGCATTGTGTGGTAGAGTTTGCCCTCTGAGTTTCTGCTGTCACCATGAAACTATCCTTCAGACGGCCAGCTGGTCCCAGGAGGACCAAAGACCTGAGAGCAGACCTACATTCAGCCAACAACTTGGAGCCAAGCCCAGCCTAGATCAGCCAAGCTACGCCCAGTGTACCCACAAGCACGTGAGCAAGAGTAAAGAGCTCTTAAGTCATGAGTTTGGGGGTTGTTTGTTATGTAGCATTATCATGACAACAACTAAATGATACAATAACTGGAAAATGTCCATAATTCTATATATATAATATTCTATAATATAGATCGATAACTATAATATATTCTATTTTATATATAATGGAATTATGAAACAGGGTCTCATAGTTCTATATATATATAGAATTGAGACAGAGGCTATCTCTGTCACCAAGGCTGGAGTGTAGTGGCATGATCAAGGCTCACTGCAGCCTTCACCTCCCAGGCTCAAGTGATCCTCCCACCTCAGCCTCCCGGGTAGCTGGGACTACAGGTGTGCACCACCACGCCTGGCTACTTTTTTATTTTTTGTAGAGACAGGGTCTCACTATGTCACCCATGCTGGTCTAAAACTCCTGGGCTCAAGTGACCCTCCACCTCGGCCTCCCAAAGTGTTGGCATTACAGAAGTGAGCCACTGCTCCCAGACCATAATTATATAATATTAGGTGAAAAAAGGATACATACACATACACACAAAGGAAGATAATGCACGAAAAGTGCTTTTCTGAATTATGTTTTTTCCTTTTTGTATTTTACTCTATTTCACAAATTTCCCACAACGAGCAGGAATTGTTTTCATATGCAGAAAAAAATGTAAACAGAAGGAATATAGAAGCTGAGCATACTGGCTGGGCGCGGTGGCTCACACCTGTAATCCCAGCACTTTGGGAGGCCGAGGCAGGCAGCTCATGAGGTCAAGAGATCAAGACTATCCTGGCCAACATGGTGAAACCCCGTCTCTACTAAAAATACAAAAATTAGCTGGGCATGGTAGTGCACACCTGTAGTCTCAGCTACTCGGGTGGCTGAGGCAGGAGAATCGCTTGAACCCAGGAGGCGGAGTTTGCAGTGAGCCGAGATCGCACCACTGCACTCCAGCCTGGTGACAGAGCGAGATTCCATCTCAAAAAAAAAAAGAAAAGAAAAACAAAGCTGAGCATCTCTCTCTTGGTGGGAGAGTTCGTGTACAGCTCCCTGGGAGAAAGCCAGGACTGTGGCCACAGGGCTTTCCCTGGGCCGGGGCTGCTCACCTGCCGCTTTCCATTTCCCTGCCTTGCTCCTCTTCAGGTCCAAGCCAAGGATGTCACAGAGCGCGGTCAGCTCTATGAGGGCCAGAGAAGGTACCTTCCTCATATCCTGCAGGGACAAGTCTCCTATCCTCGTCACGCCAAGTCTGCCTTTGGGGATGGTAAACTTCTATTAATAGAGAGGGAAGTAAAGACAATTTGTCAGGCTATGTGTCTGATAGGTATTTGGGGGCTCCCCCTTCTCCCCTGGGCATTTAGGTGGAAGGAAGAGCAGCATGGATAAAAACTGGTGCTCAGGAGTCCATCCTCAAGTCAAGTCCAAGCTCCACCTCTTGCAAACGGAGTGACATTCTGAGCCTCTGATTCCCCATCCATAATCATAAAATAGAGCCTACCTCAGAAGGTTTTTGCATGTTTATTTGTTTTTTTCTTTGGAGACACTGTCTTGCTCTGTTGCCCAAGCTGGCGTACAGTGGCATGAACATTGCTCACTGCAGCCCCGACCTCCTGGGCTCAATTGATCCTCCTGCCTCAGCCTCCTGAGTAGCTAGGACTACAGGTATGTACCCTGACACCTGGCTAATCTTTGCATTTTTTGTAGAGACAGAGTTTCTCTATGTTGCCCGGGCTGGTCTCAAACACCTGGGCTTGAGCGGTTCTCCCACCTCAGCCTCCCAAAGTGCTGGAATTACAAGCATGAGCCACCACAACGGCCTCATAAAATTTTAGTGGGAGCAAATGACCTAATGGATATAAAGTGCTTGGCACAGTCCCAAGCACATAGCGAAGCCTCAAGAAACGGAAACTGTTTCACTGCCTGCCCTCCCACAAGAGGACCTGGAGAAGAGGGATCACCCCATGGGCTTCTTATTCTTGCTTCTACTCTTGTCCTTTGTTCCTCTCCCTCACCAGGTCTGTCCCCAGCCTTGGCCATGCCACCCGCAGAAATAAAGAATGCTCAATCCTGCCATCTAGAGGCCACATTGGGAATCTGCAGGCAGCTCCAGGCTTTCCTGCCGTCCAAGGTCAGAGAAGGCAAGCAGGAGGGCCAGGCTTGCTCAGCACTGTCTGGAGGGCGTGGCCAGACCACTTCCCAGTGCCCCTTTCGAGTGAGTGCTCAAAGGGAAAGAAATGGTAATTGATGCTTATAATACAGCCTAGTGCTTGAGGCATGAGCTATGGAGTCACACCCCGGGGTTCAAATCCTTACTTTACCTGTGAGTGCAAGCAAATAATTTTACCTGTGTGTTCATCTGCAAAATGGAAGTGATAACAGTATCTACTTCACAAGACTGTTGGTAAGATTAAATTCAATAAAGTGTATGAAACACCGTGCCTGACACATAGTGAGTACTCAGTACCTATTACTACTTTTTAGTTTATTAACACAATGATCACCAGCTTAATACAATGAAATTAAATCAAATATGTGAAGTACTTGGCATAATGCTTAGTGTGTGGTAAAAGATCAATATGTGATGCTTTTAGCATTATTATTATTATTCACAGGAGAGCCTTGCTGTGTCGCCCAGGCCGCAGTGCAGGGGCGCAATCACAGCTCACTATAACCTTGAACTCCTGGGCTCAAGTGATCCTCCTGCCCCAGCCTCCTGAGTAGCTAAGATTACAGGCACACACCACCACACCCAACTATTTTTTTTTTTTTTTTTTTTTTTTGAGACGGAGTCTCAATCTGCCACACAGGCTGGAGTGCAGTGGCATGATCTCTGCTCACTACAATCTCTGTCTCCCAGGTTCAAGCAATTCTCCTGCCTCAGCCTCCCAAGTAGCTGGGATTATAGTTGTGCACCCCCACACCCAGTTAACTTCTGTATTTTTAGTAGGTATGGGGTTTCACCATGTTGGCCCAGCTGGTCTCAAACTCCTGACCTCAAGTGATCCACCTGCCTCGGCCTCCCAAAGTGCTGGGATTACAGGCATGAGCCACCATGCCTGGCCCACAACCAATTTAAAAAAATTTTTTTAGAGATGGGGTCTTGCTATGTTGCCCAGGCTGGTCTCAAATTTCTGGCCTCAAGTGATCCTCCCACCTCGGCCTTCCAAAGTGCTGGCATTACAGGTGTGTGCCACCATGCCTGGCCCTTTAGCATGATTAATTATTATCATCATTCATAATTTAATGGAGAAACACTGTCAAAGAAAAAGACAAGATAATGTTGAATATTAATTATCTCTGATGTTTTAGAAATAGAAACTCATTATTAAAAAATTTTAGGCCAGGCACAGTGGCTCACGCCTGTAATCCCAGCACTTTGGGAGGGTGAGGTAGGTGGATCACAAGGTCAGGAGATCGGGACCATCCTGGCTAATATGGTGAAACCCTGTCTCTACTAAATATACAAAAAATTAGCCAGGCATGGTAGTGGGTGCCTGTAGTCCCAGCTACTTGGGGGCTAAGGCAGGAGACCCAGGAGGCAGAGCTTGCAGTGAGCCGAGATTGTACCACTGCACTCCAGCCTAGGTAACAGAGCGAGACTCTGTCTCAAAAAAAGAAAAAATTTAGGTCAGGTGCAGTGGCTCACGCCTGTAATCCTAACACTTTGGGAGGCTGAGGCAGGCAGATGACCTGAGGTCAGGAGTTCGAGACCAGCCTGGCCAACATGGTAAAACCCTGTCTCTACTAAAACTACAAACATTAGCTGGATGTGGTAGCACGTGTCTATAGTCACAGCTACTCGGGAAGCAGAGGCATGAGAATCACTTGAACGTCGGGGGTAGAGGTCGTAGTGAGCTGAGGTTTTGCCACTGCACTCCAGCCTGGGCAACAGAGTGAGACTCTGTTTCAAAAAAAAAAATTAAAATAAATAAATATAAACTTTATTTGATGTACTATCACTAATGGAAAATATTATTACTAAGAGAAACTAGGTGTAGAGTATGTGAGAGGTCTGTTTTTGCAACTTACTGCGGACCTAAGAAAATTCCATCTGAACGAGTGGAAGTACTCTCACATTGGAATAGAGGCTACTGCAGGGGGTGGGGCTGGTGTCCTAAGCAGTAGAGTGTGGTAGTCAGCTGGGAAGGCTCCGGGGTCAGGCTGCCAGGTGCTCCTGTCCTGGCCTTTGTGGGAGCCAATTCTGTCACTTCTCCTCTCTGAGCACCATAATATGGTCTTTCTATGTCCCCCACCAAATCTCATCTTGAATTCCCATGTGTTGTGGGAGGGGCCCTGTGGAGGTAACAGAATCACCGGGGCAGGTCTTTCCCGGGCTGTTCTCGTGATAGTGAGTAAGTCTCACGAGATCTGATGGTTTTAAAAAGGGGAGATTCCCTGCACAAGCTCTCTTCTCTTGTCTGCCACCATGTGAGACGTGCCTTTCACCTTCCACCATGATTGTGAGGCCTCCACAGCCATGTGGATCCATAAGTCCATTAAACCTCTTTCATGTCTTTATCAGCAGTGTGAAAACAGACTAACACATGCCACTTCTGTCTTTTTTTTTTTTTTTTTTTTTTTGAGACAGGGTCTTACTCTGTGGCCCAGGCTGGAGAGCAGTGGTACAGTCATAGCTCACTGTAGCTTCAACCTCCAGGTGTAAGTGATCCTCCTGCCTCAGCCTCCCAAGTGGCTAAGACTACAGGCCTGCACCATCATGCCTGGTTATTTCAAAAATTTTTTGTAGAGATGCGGTATTGTCATGTTGGCCAAGCTGGTCTCAAACTCCTAGACTCAAGCAATCCTCTCGCCTTGGTCTCCCAAATTGCTGGGATTACAGGCATGAGCCACTGTGCCCGACCCTATTTCTCTTTTTTTCTATCATACAGTCAGGGAGCAATGAGGGCACTGGAAGCCTTGGGAACAACGTCCTGGGCCAGGGCAGCCCTCAGTAAAATGTTACCTAAGATTGCATCAACTGCATCATCACGTGGTCAAAGAAGAAATACTTCCTTTAGTAATAGAGGGACTGTGAAAGACTATATTTACTCCATGAGAGAAGTCAGAATAGTGGTTATTCTGCAGGGAAAGGAATTACCCGGGAAGGACATGGGGGAGCTCAGGTGGGGTAGGAAGTTTCTTTCTTTTTTTTTTTTTTTTCTGTATTACAAGTCATCAAGCAAGGGAGGAAGCTTCTGTGCAGATTTGGTGGTATTTACACAGGCATACACACCAAGCTGTACATGGTAAATATCTGTGCACTTTACAGCGAGTTATAGTTCAATCTTTAAAAACCTAACTATCAATGATTACATCCTATTTGGAAGGAACTATGCTGGGATAACTGAATATTTTGGAAAAAAGAACGGCCAGGTGCAGTGGCTCATACCTGTAATCCCAGCATTTTGGGAGGCTAAGGCTGGAGGATTGCTTGAGCCCAGGACTTTGAGACCAGCCTGGGCAATGTATAAAGAACCTAACTCTAAAAAGTGTTTAAAACTTAGCTGGGCATGGTGGCATGCAACTGTAGTCCTAGCTACTTGAGAGGCTGAGGTGTAAGGATAGCTTGAGCCTGAGAGGTTGAGGCTGCAGTGAGCTGAGATGGCACCACTGCACTCCCGCCTGGGTGACAGAGTGAGACCTTGTCTCAAAGAAAAAAAAAGAAGGAAAGAAGGAAAGAAAGGAAGAAGAAAAGGAAGGAGGGAGGGAGGGAAGGAAGAAAAGAAGGAAGGAAGGAAGGAAGGAAGGAAGGAAGGAAGGAAGGAAGGAAGCAGATGCAGCACAGATGGACACAGATGGATGTGATCTGCAGGCGCGCTTCCTTTTACAGATGGGCCAACGATCTACAGATCGCACACAGATGGACATGATATGCAGACGCGCACACATGAGATGGACACGGATGGGCGCAATCTGCAGACGCCCACACAGATGGACACAGATGGACATGATCTGCAGATGCGCACACACAGATGGACATGGATGGACGCAATCTGCAGACGCACACACACAGATGGAGCGGGATGCCAGACACCCCCACAGATGGAGCGCAATCTGCAGAGGCGTGCACACGCCAGATGGGCGCAATCTGCAGATGCACACACAGATGAGGCACGATCTGCAGACGTGTACACGAAAGATGGACACAGATGGGCGCGATCTGCAGACACACACACAATAGATCACGATCTACAGAGCGTACACAGATGGGCCAGCGAAATCCTGCGTGGCGCACACACACAGATGGGCGATCTGCAAGCCTTACCAGATGG